TGTGCGCATCAAGATGTTTGATGGTTGTATCCAAACAATCTCCAATGTTCAACATGTACCTGCATTGAAGAAGAGTCTTCTATCCTTGGTAAAGTTTGACAAGCTTGGAATGAAAATCATAGGGGAGAATCGTCAGCTAAAGGTAGTCAAGGGCATTGTGGTTGTGGCAAAGGGTGTACTAGTTGGGAATTTATACAGATTGGTGGGTGAGACTTTAGTGGGATAAGCTGCTGTTGCAAGTACCAAGTCTGAATCCTTTTCTGTTTGGCACAAATGGTTGGGACATATGAGTGATCGTGGGCTTCAGGTACTATCTAATCAAAAACTTCTTCCTGGTTTCAAGACTGACTTATTGGGTTTCTGTGAAGATTGTGTGTTTGGAAAACAACATAGGCAGTCTTTTTCTTTGTCAACAAACAGAAGCCATAAATTCCTTGACTTGATTCATGCTGATACTTGTCAAGTACCTGCTGTTTCTATTGGTGGGTGTTCTTACTTTGTGACATTCATTGATGATTTCTCCCGAAAGGTATGGATTTTCATGCTCAAAAGGAAATTTGATGCTTTTGAAAAATTCAAAAGGTTTAAAGCATTAGTAGAAAATCAAAAAGGCACAAAAATTAAGTGTCTCCGAACTGATAATGGGGGAGAATTTTGTAGTAAGGAGTTTGATGATTTTTGCAGTGAGCATGGTATTAAGAGACATCTTACAGTACCAGGAACACCACAACAGAATGGGGTTGCTGAGAGAATGAACCAGACTCTCATGGAGCGTGTTAGATGCATGATGAGCACTGCAAAATTGGGGAAGGAATTTTGGGCTGAAGCTGTTAACACTGCATGCTATCTAATCAACCGCTCACCCACTGTTTCTCTCAAGATGAAAACTCTGGAGGAGGTTTGGTCTGGTAAACCTACAAATTATTCTTTCCTTCGAATATTTGGATGTGATGCTTATGTTTGGGTGCCTAAGGAGAAAAGAACCAAAGTTGACAAAATTTCAAAAAGATGTATTTTTCTTGGCTATGAGACAGGTACAAAGGGGTACAGATTGTGGGATCCTACTGCCCGCAAGCTTATTATTAGCCGAGATGTGGTTTTTTAATGAAGATGTTTTCAAGGCAGAACTAAAAAGGAAGAAGCAAGGAAGACTGTTATTGAGCAAGAAGCTAGTTTTGATGATGCTGTACAGGAGGAAAATATTCAAAATGATCCTCAATCTGAGTCTGAGCCTGAGTCTGAGCTTTTACATGAAGGAACTTCATCTGGTGATACTGTTTCGCCTCGACCTCGAAGGGCCATTAGACCTCCAGCGAGGTATGATGACTATGTTACATCTTTGAAGCCTCAATCTAATTATGTATGTGCTTATCTTGCTTTGTTAGAAGAACATGAGCCAACTTCTTTCAAAGAGGCTTGTGAGCTTATCAATTCTGACCAATGGCGAGGTGCAATGGAGGAGGAGATGGAGTCTTTGCACAAGAACAAAACTTGGGATCTTGTTCAGCTACCAGAAGGTCAAAAGGCAATTGGATGTCGCTGGATATACAAGTTGAAGAAGGACTCAGAAGGGAATATAGAAAGATACAAAGCCAAACTTGTGATTAAAGGGTATGCCCAAAAACCTGGTATTGATTTTGATGAAGTTTTCTCACCAGTTGTTCATATGACTACTATTAGAGTTGTTTTAGCTCTTGCTGCTTCTCTTGATCTTGAGTTAGAACAACTAGATGTCAAGATAGCTTTCTTGCACGGTGACTTGAATGAAGAAATTTATATGACACAACCTAAAGGCTTTGTTGAAGAAAATAATAGAAGTTTGGTTTGTCGGCTGAACAAATCGCTTTACGGTCTGAAACAGGCACCTAGATGCTAATATAAGCAGTTTGATTCCTCTATCGTGAGCTTGGGATTTCATAGATGTGAAGCTGATCATTGTGCTTATTTTTGTGATTATAATGATGGATGCTTCTGTATCTTGTTATTGTATGTAGATGACATGATTATTGCAGGAAATAATCCCACTTATGTCTCTACATTAAAAGCTAAACTTGCTAGGGAATTCGATATGAAGGACTTGGGAGCCGTGAATCAAATTCTTGGGATGAAGGTATTTAGAGATAGAGAGGACAGGAAGATCTAGTTGAATCAAAAGAACTACATAGAAAGGGTTCTACAACGCTTCAATATGCAGAATGCTAAACCAGTGAGTACCCCCTTTCCTGTTCATATTAAGTTGTCTTCAGAATACTCACCCAGCACTGAAGCAGAGAAGGCAGCAATGTCTCGAGTACCATACTCATCAGCAGTAGGGAGTCTTATGTTTGCTATGGTCGGAACTAGGCCGGACATTGCACAAGCAGTGGGAGCTGTTAGCAAATACATGGCAAATCCTGGTCGTGTTCATTGGGATGCAGTGAAGTGGATCCTTAGATATTTAAAGGACACTTCAAGTGTTTCATTGTGTTATAGGTCAATGGAACTCGTTTGTGTTGGTTTTGTTGATGCAGACTTTGCCGGAGATAGAGATAAAAGAAGATCAACTTCTGGTAATGTCTTTATCATGGCAGGTGGTGCAGTTAGTTGGGAGTCTAAATTGCAACCGGTTGTAGCCTTATCAACAACAGAGGTAGAGTATATCTCTATCTCTCATGCTTGCAAAGAAGCTATTTGGTTGGAGAGGTTGCTTGCAGAATTTAAAATGAAGCAGGACACGTTTTCTATGCATTGTGACAGTCAAAGTGCTTTGTTATTGGCTAAGAATCCAACTTTTCACTCTTGCACAAAGCATATCAATGTCCGCTATCATTTTGTTCGACAATTAGTTGAAGATGGGAAGATACTTCTGCACAAGGTTCACACAAGTTCAAATCCAGTAGATATGTTAACAAAACCAGTGGCCCGTGACAAGTTCAATTGGTGCAAGTCTTCAATTGGACTTGAAGAAGTTTGATTCCTTTTTCATTTTTCTGTTTGTTTTGTTTCAAGAAACGTGTCTTTAAGTGGGAGATTGCTGAAGACCAAGTCAAATAAGACTGTTAGTGGAGTCCTAATAAAGTGGAGCTGCTGGAGCATACCAGATTTTTTATCTGATATGAAGCCACGTTTTTAGTAGAGAGTTACAACAAACTCTGTTATTTTGCTGTCTATAAATAAGGAGAATGACCAGTTGC